GCGGCAGCCACAGGCTGGCTGCTTCTGCAGCGGAGATGCTGTGGGAAAGGGGGGACTGATCTCTGCTGCCTCCCGAGCTAATGCTGGAGTGGCTTTGCCTGCAGAAGGCATGCCTGCTAAGTGCAGGAGCAGATCCCTGCATGAGTTCAACTTCTTGTGCCTTTGCTCTGCCTTTTCACCTGTATCACTTAGTTGCAACTCTTCTGGGCAAACTGCGAGTTAAAGGAATCGATAGAGACTTTGCACAGCTTACATGGTGTTTGATTATGTGGGAGAAGAATGCAATTTCTTCTGACTACTGCTACACAACAGATCATACTAGTTTAGTACTTATTGCAATAGTTGGTATAACGACTGTCTAGGTGAAAACTGGGAGTCAGTCTCAAACTCCAATGGAGGACAAGCTTTTCTTCTAGGATTTAGGCAGCCAAGCTGTAGCAAATGTTTTAACAGTTTAAAAAGTTACTGCAGAGCTCACCTTTCTGCTTTCCACGGATTAACTTCTGCAGCAGAGTTAACGGCAAGGCAACGTGTGCTTTTGCCTTATTTACCTCAAAGGGCAAAGTCCACCTTGACGTGTTGGTGAGGCTGGATGGGTGGCACTGCTGTTGTCAGATGCCAACATCCTTCACCAATTCTCCAGCAACATATGATACTCTAACACAATTATCTCTCAGCTCAGTATAAGAGTGCATCCAGCCATCTCCATGAGTCACCCCTCTGCTCTAAACATGGAATGGTGATCCACCTTCAGCTGAAGTAGTAGAAGCTTTTGGAGTTTCAGAAGATCTGTCTTTTCAACTGAGTGGCTGTAGCATGCAGGTCAGTTGCTTGTGAAATCTGGGAGAGATTGAAAAATTGCTGCAAAGCTTCATTTCCTAGGGGGAATACTTACAGCATTTGCTGAGATCTCTGATCTCATAGAAGATACTGTAAGGCAGAACTTGAATTGCTGTATTTATTGAGCCAGCTCTTCCTCAAATATGCATTAGTATCACCCCATAAAAATTAGTACAGTGGTGTAGATTTATTCTGGCTTTGTCCCACTGTGTCCGTGATTGATTATAAAACCCAGGAGAATGACTGTTTAAGGGGAACTGTGATAACGGGCTTGTTTTCAAGATAACGTAGAAGTCTTACTACTTGAAAAATAAAAGGCAATTGACCTCAAGGAGGTGTGTAATAGTAGCTGATCAAAGTCTGAATTTGTGAGATTATATTTTCTCTTTAAAATAGTAAATAAAGCAGTCTTCTCTTCAAAGCCTGTCCCCATCTGTAGATGGTACTTGAACTTTGGGTTTTGAGGGAAGAATTAAATGACGGTTTCTCACTGTGCTCAGTAAGCCTGTTGGTGGGGTTTTTTCACCTTCTAATTTAGCAAAAGCCTTGCTGAAAGCAGTGCAGTGATTACACCAGGTCATTTTGCACCTATAGCTAACTTCTGTATGTTAAGGGGACTCTCTGCACAGTTGTCTCTGGCAGTTTGGCTGAGTAAAGAATCTGAAGTTGTCTCTGAGCAGGTCCTGGTCTGTGGTGTACCTGTAACTTTATCTTACAGATGATGAATGTTAGTTTAGGTTTTTAGAGGTTTTTTTAATCTTTTGCTTTGGAATTTCCTGTGACTTTGCAGTGCCCTGTTGATGATTAACTTTGCCTTTACCCAGGGAGAAATATTCATTAGATGATTAGATTAGCAAATCACTGATATTGGATTAATGTAAATACTTCTTGTGAGTGAAGCAGGAAGGGTTGGCACAGTATCTGCAAAGCTTCGCCAGTCAGCTACACAGGAAAGTGGAGAGGAAGAGCACAAGCGAACCAATCCCTAATAGTTAGGGGAAAGCTTAAGTGCTTTTGTTTGAAATAGGCAGTGAAAGCTGCAGAAAGGATTTCTCCAAAGAAATCTGCTTATGAAGTAGTGCTAGCCAGCCTTTGTATGCTCCTCAAAAAGGAGGACCGACATGCTCTACCTTTACTACTTTTTGCTGTAGCACACGTACACACCTGGCACGGAACAGGGGCATGGTAGATTAAATGCACAGATGTGCATTTGTAGTTTATGATGATGATTCTTCCATAATAAGATTTTTGACACAGCAAGGTTTTTTGCTTTTAAACTAATCCTCTTATATACCTCAGTTACGTTCTTTCTCTTGTCCTGAATATTAATCTGATTTTCAGATACTCTTTATGGTTTTGCTTCTGACTTTTGCATTCCCAGGGATGAGTTGCAACTGATTACAATGGTTTTAGATGGAAGTCACCTGATCAAGCATACTGTCGTAATCTCTTGAAGATAATCACTAAAAATATATCTCCCTTAATCTCCTTTGCTGGATAAGAGAAAAAGAGAAGGATTGGTAAGGGCAGTGTGCCGTAAGTAGTAGAGTGACTATGTGCACTACAGGTTGCTTTCCCTAGCTGCTTCTGAATAGAAATGCCATCTTTCCCCATCTTAAACAGCTTTGGGAAGCTATGTGGATCAAGTAAAAGTGAAGAATTGGTGCTGGAAAAGGTGAAATTCCGAAATTCAGTCAAAAGGATGTCGATTATTGAGGATGGGGATATTGCAGAGGTCTTGTATCTCGTTCCTAAGCAGAGCTTGCTGAAGCAACTGCCCTACTTGAATCCAGATGACTACTATTTGTGCGAGCGGTTATTTGACACAACTGAGGATCTGGGTAAGAGAGTACTGGCATCGGATCTTGATTTTTGGTTGGTGAATAGGCTAAATTGCTTTACAGTTAGCTTATTTTTTTGTGTAGCAGCAAGATGCTTTATGACAGCAAGTGTGCTCAGGTGTATAGAAATATTTTATTGCTAACAAGGAGAAGGGAAAGAAGAATAAAAAGCCAAATTAGAATCTGAATAGTCAAAAGAGGTGCAGTGCTCTCTATGCCATCCTGGGACAAAGGGGGCCTTCATCTGCAGAAGTGTTCAAGCTAGAAGAATACCTTTTGAAAGCACAACATCCTGTTGTAGTGTGTTCCAGAGCTTTCCTATGGGTTTTATGAAACTATATTCCCTTTTGTTTGTTTTAAACCTATTGCCAAGTAGTTTCATTTGAAGCTGCCTCATTTTTTAATTGAAAGAGGTGACTAAAAGTCTTTCCGTGTTCACCTTCTTCTTGTTACTTGTGAATTTACTAGACTTCTGTTCTATCTTTTATCCAGGTACCTCCTTTTCCAGGATAAGCAGTCATAATTTATTTCGATGCTCTTCGTGCAGGAGCCAGTCCATGCCTTTGATTATCTTTTTAACCTTTATTTTTCTAATTCTACTGTAACCCTTGAAAAATTGGGGAACAGAACTGTATTCAACATGTAGCATAACATGGGTATATATACAGAGTCATAACAATGCTATTTCTTACTCCCAGTAGTTCCTTTGTGTTTTTAATTAATATTGAACACCGGTTTATTTCTTCATAGAGCTATCAGTCGTGGGAGAACTTATATCTGGAATTCATCAGCTTAACTGATTTGTTACAATCTGTTAAAAATATTAAAAAAAAAAAGTTTTCTGGAAACTCTAGTCTATGAAATTGGCTATAAATGTTTATCTGAAGGCTTCAGATAAATTTCAAAGATATTCTCTTCTAGGATTTGTGTTATGGACCTCAGGTTTGATAACCCAAACTGCTTGTGTGCTGGAATTTTGCCTGTACTTAGAAGATAAAACTACTACGTAATTGTTATTGCTTAGCTCCTCAAATGTTAATACTGAGTGACCACGTATGGTAGGCAAGTGTTTTCAAAGATCTGCTTTCAAGTTTGTAGTTTCATCAGTGCCAGATAACACTTTTTCTTCTGTGCAAATAGCTTTTTGCTAGTCAGCTCTGTACCCAATAAACTGCACACTGTAAGAGTAATACTGGCCAAAACCCATACGCTGTTTTGGATAGTCAGAGCTTCTGAGTAATCAATTATTTTAAAACTAAAATTTGAATCAAGGTGTTGCTAAAACATGAGGCCAATGTTTAATATGGCTTTGAGCCAGAAAAAATAACTATCATTCTGTCTGGCCAGCCCCCCAGTGTTTCACATTAGTATTCTGGAGAAAACTTCTACAGACAATTTAGGCATTTTTATAAACCACAATATAGGATAGAAAATTAATTGAATTGAACAATGACCAGCTATATGATCAATCCATGCAGGACTCCAAAGAAATTCTTTGCCATTGTAGCAGGCTGGGAGCCACCTTTTGAACAGGTGTAATGTTCTTCTATTTTGTATGGGGCTTAAATCAATCTAGAAATCTGCAATTTTGCAGTTCTTCACTCATTTGTAAGCAATCAAAAGATAGTGAGACAGGTTCTGATTAGCATTATACTGCAATAGATAATGCAAATAACCACTGAGGCTTTTTTTCCCTTTCATCCTACTATTTGGGTTCTACTATTCAATAGGATGGGTATTGTGGTCCTGCTTTCCAGTGCCATGAATCATGCTAGCTGAAAGGTTGCAAAGTGTCTGGTGTCTCAGCTTTATTTATTTAAATTACAACAATTGGAATGAGAATCTCACCTACTTAGAACAAAAATTGTGGAATGGTTATTGAAAACGGCCTGGTTGTGAAGGTCGTATGTGACTTTAAGATGCAAAACGCATGAGTCTGTCTCTTAGGCCATGTGCGTGCTTGGGGATTATGGTGCTTCAAGTACTACAAGATTTAGCAGCTTATATACCCTGCTGAAAGACAGTTTGCTGTCTGTATTTGGCTTTACAAACAGAGATTAGAAATTATCCTGTACAAGGCATTTGGAGAATCACTAAATATTTTCCTTGCTGCTTGTAAGTGGAATAAGGAAAGAACCCTATTTTAGGTTTTTGGAAGGTCAGGAATTATCAACAAGTGCAGAGCTATTTGGTATTCAGGAAATGAGTCTTCTGAGTATCACTGATTTAAGCCATGACTTGCTTTTACTTAGCACTCGTATCATGAAGTTCCATCCCCTTCATAAGGGAAATGTTGGAGGTTAAACTTGTCTCATCAGGTTACGGACTCATTGCGATACTGACAGTTAAAATACTCTAAAAATTGAAGAAAACTTAAAAAAAAAAAAAAAAAAAAAAGGAGTTCAGAAGAGGCTTTGAATCACCGAAAGGATCCTCATCCTGCATTTCCCTTGAGTTCATTTGGTTAAACACTGAGCCACCTTCCTTCTCATTTCCAGGGGTGGTGGTAAGGGACTGCTTCCCACAAGAGGTATTGCCGGCTGCGTGGTTTGCTGCAACAAGATCTGTCTTAGCCTAGGTGGCCTGGTTCAGCGCGTGGCTTTGGTTCTCTGGAGGCCAGACTCGTATACAAAGGATTCTGTGGAAAAATGGTATTCAGGACTAGCGAAAGTTGAAAGTTGGTTGCAAAAGAGCAATGGAATTTTAAAGAGAAAATTGGCTAGAAACTGTGTGATGTTGCTTCTTGTATGAGATACTGTCATCTGTCACTTGTACAGATGACACCATATACACCCCTCCAAACCAATTACTCTTTGGATGTGACAGTGATACATACCTGAGGCAAAGGAGATATATACCCTATTATCTAACTGTTATCTAAGCATGAGTTTAGTAACTGTTTATGTAACAGTCTTAATTTAAAGCAGCACTTATGAGAATGGCTGCTTGTGTTGGGTCACTTGGATGTAAGGAAAGACACAGGGAACCTGAGAGAATGAGAAAGGCATGGGGGGAATCTAGAGAGCATGAAAACTGTTCACTGTTGAGCCAGGCAGCAGACTGGAGTGATGCAGGAAAATTTATGAAGCACTGAGACCCTATTTGCTCTTTACTGGGTAGAAAACTAACTGGATGGCCGGGCCCAAAGAGTTGTGGTGAATGGAGTAAATCCAGTTGGAGGATGGTCACAAGCAGTCTTCCCCAGGGCCCGGTACTGCGGCCAGTTCTCTTTAGTATCTTTGTCAATGAACTGGATGAGAGGATTGAGTGCACCCTCAGTAAGTGTAGACAATGCAAAGCTGGGCAGGAGTGTGGGTAGGAAGGCTCTACTTGGGTCACAACAACCCCATGCAACAGTACAGGCTTGGGGAAGAGTGGCTGGAAAGCTGCCTGGTAGAAAAGGAGCTGGGGTATTGGTTGACAGATGACTGAATATGAGCCAGCAGTGTGCCCAGGTGGCCAAGAGGGCCAACAGCATCCTGACTGTATCAGAAATAGTGTGGCCAGCAGGACCATGGCAGTGATTGTCCCCCTGTACTCAGCACTGGTGAGGCCGCACCTCGAGTACTGTGTTCAGTTTGGGGCCCCTCACTACAAGAAGGACATTGAGGGGCTGGAGCTTGTGGCAACGAAGCTGGTGAAGGGTCTGGAGCACAAGTCTGATGAGGAGCGGCTGGGAGACCTGGGGTTGTTCAGCCTGGAGAAAAGGAGGCTGAGGGGAGACCTGATTGCTCTCTGCAACAACCTGAAAGGAGGGTCTAGCCAGGTGGGGGCTGGTCTCTTCTCCCAGGTAACAAGCGATAGGACAAGGGGAAGTGGCCTCAAGTTGTGCCAGGGGAGGTTTAGATTGGATGTTAGGAAAAAATTTTTCAACCAAAGGGTTGTCAATTATCGGAACAGGCTGCCCAGGGAAGTGGTGGAGTCACCGTCCCTGGAGGTATTTAAAAGATGCGTAGATGCTGCTTAGGGACATGGCTTAGTGGTGGTTGCCAGGTTAATGGTTGGACTTGATGATCTTAAAGGTCTTTTCCAACCTAAATGATTCTATGATTCTGTTGCTCTCTACAGCTTCCTGAGGAGGGGAAGTGGAGAGGGAGGTGCTGAGCTCTTCTCCCTGGGATCCGGTGACAGGATGTGTGGGAATGGTTCAAAGCTGCGCCAGGGGAGGTTCAGACTGGACATTAGGAAGCATTTCTTTACTGAGGAGGTGGTCAAACACTGAACAGGCTTCCTAGAGAGGTGGTCGATGCTGCAAGCCTGTCAGTTGGACAATGCCCTGAATAATATGTTTTAACTTGATCAGCCCTGAATTGGTCAGGCAGTTGGACTAGACGATATTCGTAAGTCCCTTCCAACTGAAATAATCTAGTCTATTCTATGAGAAGTGGGTATCCGGGGAAAAGAAGGTCTGACTTTCCTGTGTGTATGTTTGCAGGGAGGAAAGGTCCAAAAGTTCAACATGGTGATGTGAGGGAAGACACAGAATTAGGGTGTTTTTCAGGGGAATGAGCTTTACAGATTTAATATAAAATGTCCAATTATAAAATACTAGCTGCAGCATAATCGTTTGAATCTTTCTTTTGTATCTAAGTTCCCACACATCAGCTTGCTTGCATCAGTGGGGTTTTCTTGCTGTGTTATGGGAAGAAAGCTAGACCCCCCAGCTAGGGAAACAAACAGGCACTCTTTTGTGCCCCACTGCCTTTTTCCATTCTTAGTACCGAGGAGTGCCCAAGGTCACGCTGAACACTGCAGTTTCTTTAGCACCAGTCCCTCTTTGTACCTGGACGGAAAGAAGGAAGGCATAGATGGAAAAAAAAGGAATTCCTATTTTAATCTTTGGTCTTACCTGCTAATGGCATTCATAGTGCTCCTCACAGAATGTATACTTGATGTGACCTACAGCCATAGGATTTTATTGGTGCTGTGTGAGTGTATCAGGTGTCCAAAGCTCAGCAATCTGGAATGTGGCAAGTGGTGATACCAGAGAGAAAAATCCA